TTAGTAGATGTTCCCTTGTCACTCTAATAGTTGCCTCTCTATGCTGCAAACTCATATCTACCATTTCATTAGAGGATGCCATGGGAATGTAAGGCAAGTGAAGTGGAGCCTTCTGACCATACATCACTTCATAAGGGGTGGTCTGCAGAGATGAATGGAATGTGGTGTTATACCACCATTCTGCCAATGGCAGCCATTGAGCCCACTCCTTAGGTCTCTCACCACTCATGCACCTTAAGTACCCCTCTAAGCACTTGTTCACTATCTCAGATTGGCCATCAGTTTGGGGATGGTAAGCAGTTGAGGTGTGGAGTTGTGAGCCTTGAAGTTTGAAGAATTCTTGCCAAAATCTACTCATGAAAATGGGGTCTCTATCACTGACTATAGTCTTGGGCATACCATGCAATTTGTACACATTTTCCATGAAAAGTTGTGCCACTGAGCTAGCTGTGTAGGGATGTTTCAAACTCATGAAATGTGCAGCCTTGCTCAACCTATCCACTACCACTAAAATAGTATCCTTCCCACCAGAAGCTGGCAATCCCCCAATAAAATCCATGGAGATGTCCTCCCATATCCTTTCAGGGATGGGAAGTGGTTGTAGCAATCCTGGTGTTGCTACAGTTTCCCCTTTGTTCCTCTAACACACATCACATTGTTGCACCCAAGTATGCACATCCTTCTTCAGTCCCTTCCAATAAAAGGTTTGTTTAATCCTTTGTAAAGTGCTGTGAATTCCAGAATTCCCTCCCACTGCAGCACCATGGAAATGATTCAGAATTTTTTGTCTAAGCTCCATTTCCTTCCCCACCACCATTTCCCTTTTCTCAACAGCACTTCAGCATTCCAAGAGTAAGATGGTTTGTTGTTGCTGCCTTCCTTCAAATTCTCAATGATCTTTTTCAACTTCAAATCAGTGGTGTAGACCCTTTTAATTTCTTCCAGAAAAGAACTTTGAGGGATGGAGAGTGTGAAACAACTAACTTCTGGAATGATGATTCTAGACAGGCCATCTGCCACCACATTATTTTTTCCCCTCTTGTATGATACTAAAAAATCATACCCTAACAACTTCACCAACCATTTTTGTTGAGCTGGTGTGGCAACCCTTTGGTCCATTAGGTACTTCAAACTTTGATGATCTGTCTTTACAATGAAGTGATTACCAATCAGATAGGGTCTCCATTTCTGAACTGCAGTTACTAATGCAAGGAGTTCCTTCTCATATGTAGATAGAGCCCCTTGGGTCATGTTTAGTGCCTTGCTCATGAAGGCAATTGGTTTACCTTGTTGCATCAGTACTGCCCCCATTCCAGTTCCAGATGCATCAGTTTCAATGGTGAATTCTTTTGAAAAGTCAGGAAGTGTTAACACTGGGATTTGAGTCATTGCTCCCTTGAGGGCATTAAATGCTTGTTGAACCTCCCCACTCCACTTAAAACAGTCTTTCCTCAATAATTGAGTTAAGGGATGAGCTATCTTACCATAATCCTTGACAAATCTTCTGTAATAACCAGTTAGTCCAAGGAACCCCCTCAGTTCCTTAATTGTCTTGGGAGTTGGCCAATCAGACATAGCTTGAGTCTTATTGGGGTCAGCTGCTACTCCTTCCTGTGTAATTACATGCCCCAAGTACACAATGGAAGAGCTTCCAAAAGAGCACTTATTCGTCTTGATAAACAACTGATGTAATCTTAAAAGTTCCAAAACTGTCATCAATTGTTCCAAGTGGGAATTCCAACTCTTACTGTAAACTAAGATGTCATCAAAGAAAACTAGAACAAACTTCATTAGCTGCTCATGGAACACTTTGTTCATGAGGCTTTGAAAGGTGGAGGGTGCATTAGTCAAACCAAATGGCATAACTAGAAATTCGTAGTGCCCATGATGAGTTCTAAAGGTTGTCTTCATGATGTCTTCCTCTTGCATTCTGATTTGGTGATAGCCAGACCTCAAATCCAGCTTAGAAAAGACCTTTGCTCCATGCAGCTCATCCAGTAGCTCTTCAATTACAGGGATGGGAAAATTATCCTTAACATCGTGTTTTTTTAACTCTCTATAATCCACACACATCCTCCAAGAATTGTCTTTCTTTTTTACCAACACTACTGGTGAAGAAAGGGGACTACTACTAGCTCTAATCACCCCTGAATCTAGCAACTCTTGCACTATGGCTTCAATTTCATTCTTTTGTACAGCTGGATATCTATATGGTCTCACATTGACAGCTTACGATCCCTCTTTAAGGTGTATCTTGTGATCATGATCTCTGTGAGGTGGTAGACCCTTAGGTTCCACAAATAAGTCTGCATAATCACTCAGCAACTCTTGCAGTCCTTCCCTTCCTATACATTCCATAGAGTTCAAACTAGCAATGCATTCTGGTGTTCCTTCCCCTGGATCAGTAGAAAGATGAGCTATGTCTACACTCACAGAAGCTCCATCTTGTAAGCTCCCAATGCATTGGTAAGCAATTTGGGAGGGTTTTTGTAAGATCTTATTCAATTTCTTGTTGGAGACCAACTTAACTGAGTTAGGTTGGAAACCTCTCAACACCACCTTCCTGCCCATGTGATTAAATTCCATCTTCAGCTGCAGATAATTACTGCATATATCTCCCAAAGTCACTAGCCATTGAATGCCAAGTACTAGGTCACAGCTCCCTAGTGGCAGTGTCATGACTTCAGCAGAGAATTCCACCCCATGTATGTTCCAAGTAAAATTTGGACATTTGAACTTAGTAATGAGTATGTTCCCTCCAGGTACATTCACAAATGATGGCTTCATTTCCACTAGTTCACACCCTAATGATCTTGCAGTCTGCTCATCCACAAAGTTATGGGTGCTCCCATTGTCAATCAAGATTTTGGTATGGTTTTTCCCTTTGCTGATCGTTAACCTCATGTTTCTAAAGTCATGAGTACCAGTCATAGCATGCATAGAAACTTGAGACAGCTGTTCATCTCCCTCCTTCATCCTTTCTTCAGTCACCACACTAGGATTGTACTCCACTTCACTTTCCATCATTGTTTCCTCCTCAGGTATTTACATCACATACATCTGCCTCTTCTTAGGACAATTGTGGTCCCTAGAGTATTTCTCATCACACCAAAAGCAGAGGCCCTTGGCTCTTCTGTCATCAACTTCTTGATTGCTCAGTCTCTTAGTTTGATTGAAGGATTGGGTCTGATTTCTATGGGAGGTTGGACTATTTCTGTTAGATTGTGGGCTAGTATAATTATTGGCTGGATAGGTGTTGGAGTTTTGGTTGGGGTTTCTATTGATAGTTAGGGTGTTAGGTCTGTTGGTAGTGTATGAAGCTCTGATAGGGTTCTGGATAGGATTATGGTGTTAGCTAGGGTGTTTTCTAGGAGATAGGGTAATGGTCTGTTCTTGTAGCTTGGCTAAACTCAGTACTTCCATCATGATTTTGGGTTTAAACATTCTGATCTGTAGTGAAATTTCTGGTTTCAATCCACCTAAGAAGCAACTCACTGCATAAGGTTCTAAGAGATCTACACAATTCATTAATTCATCAAACCTATCAAGGTAGTCTTGCAGAGATCCAGTTTGTCTGAGGTTCATTAACTCAAACATAGGGTCTTTGAAAAGCAGAGTACCAAATCTGCTATTCAAGGCCCTGATGTACTCTTCCCTGCTCGGAATCTCTCAAGTGAGACGAGCCTTCATGAAGGTTTGGTACCACTGGAGAGCTCTCCCCTCCAAGTGCACAGCTGCCAGCTTCACTTTTGAGCTCGATGGTGTGCTATCTACGTCGAAGAACTGGTCACACTTGTACACCCAGCTTCGAAGATTTGTTAGGTAGTTGATACTCTGTACCCCATTGAGGATCTTCCTGATTCCTCAGATCTGGAGGTCTCCCACCATCGCCATCTGAAGTTGATTGCTGTTGCAGTTTGGCCATCATCAACGTCATCATAGCACGATTTTCCTCCACGTTCTTGGCGTTAGCTTTGGATATGGCTTGCATTTGTTCTCTCATCATATCCATATCCTTCCTCAGCTCAGCAAACCGAGTACCATCTGCCATGATATGCTTCACATAATCGATGGCTCTGGATACCAATTGATAGCAACGCAAAACTATATATATTGATAAACGGAAATTACAGATAAACAGAGGTTGAATCGGGAAGCTTAAACACAAGAAAGCTTCGAGAATCAAGCCCAAACACTCAGGTCTAACCTAGAAGACACTTGACCTAAAATCAGCTGCTTCTTCTAGCTCAAACTTTCCCTATTTATACTAACTCTATAACTAGAAAGTGCTCTTAATAAATAGAAGCGTAATAACGTTTCTTTAACAAACAACTCTTCCTTCTCTTCCTCTCTTCTTCGTCCACGTGTGCTGTTGAGAGCCGCTACTAATAAAAACATAATAATCCCGAAAACGCATAATAGAAGTGCGTCTTTAAATGAACCGTAGTAATTTTTACTCTGCAAATATAATTCTAGTATTAATTATATTGCATGCCTTCTTCTTCATATCTTGCTCAATCCTGCATGTCTTCTCCTTCTTCTTGCTATAATCTGATCCTCTGAATCTAGCTCGTAACACTGAGAAGATGCAGATGGTAGTTGCCGGTTGGTCTCCACACCGTCATCGGAGAAGAAAAAGGGAAAAAAGGGTTTTAATTAAGTTGTTAAAATTTGCGATTTGACCCAAAAATTTGTATTATTATATTTAAGTTCTATTGAATTTATGTTTATTATAAAAAAGATTTTAGGGGCATTTGAGACTTTTCAAGTCAAAAAACCATCAACAAGTCGCACAAAACGCGCGTACATCACACGATTTGGTGGTAGGGGGGGGGGGGGGGGGGCGGCTTTGACTTGTTCACATAGGGGGTAAGTGCTAATTGTTTTTACATAGGGGTTTTTTCGGCAATTAGACATATCATAGGGGTGCCGCTTGCTAAAAGCCCATAAATCTTACTCAAAAGTAGTAAAAAAAAAAAAAAAAAAAAAAAATAGAAATATTAAATCAACAGTGATTCATCGATTAATCATATATTTGTGTCCATAGTTCAGTACTGGACATTAATATATCTTAAAATATAGGTAATATTTGAACAAGACTAATTTGGCCTCCAAAAGAGCAGGAACAAGACTAATTTGCCCTGCAGCAGTGTTATTATTTGTCTATATAAGATAGGTGTCTATTATTGAATGACTTTTTTTTTTTTCTTTTTTCAACATATTATGATAAGATTAATACTTAATATTTTGATAAAATTCCCCTCTTCTGCTGAGAGTGGCTAACATTAATATAAATAACAAATAGAGATTTAAATGTTAAACACTAGTGAGCTGCTGCAAGTGGGAATTACGGTTTGGCTTGAAGAATAATAGAAGAGTAAGGGGCCATATTATACATCTCTTTCACCCCTGGAACACCTTCCGGGACCAAGTCACTCGGAGACTCCAGATTCGTGTCCACCTGCAATTAATACTTTCATTAATTGTTGCGAAATTAGAATAAAATACCACCATTCTTTTCCCATTGTGTTGTATTTCAAGATAGCAGCAACAAAAAGGCAAAAGCTACTTTCAAGACATTTTAAGAGTGATTTGCACATTGTTTGACCAAGACTCTCCTGACCAAATTGCATAAGAACGTGATGCAAATTACAAACCTAATCTAGAATAATTAAGGCCTCGTTTGCTTGGGGAGATTAGCTATGATTAACTAAATAATTGGACTTTATTGATGTTTGGTATTCCCAATAACTTGCCGGGTCGACCCGCAAATACTATGTTATCATAGCTTATCCTGTCTTCTAAGCATGTTTTCATTGGATCATCGAATGTCCTATAATATAATTGAGTTTTATTAGATTATTTAATATTATCTTGGCTAATCTTATCTTTTCAACCAAATGAGGCTTATTAGACACTGCGAGAATCAACTTAAACTAATCGAGGAGGAAAGAAAGGCACAAAGTTGACTTTTGCACATCATGAAGTTAGAAAGAAAGGCAACAAGTTGACTTTTGAAGACTAACCATTCGAAACCACTGTCTTGTTTGTGGTGGTGAAGGTATAGCAGCTTTAACAAAGTAGTCATGTGCGTTGAATGCTACATATAAATCACCTCCATTTTCCTCATGAAGCCTGAAACATCACAATTGTTATTATGAGAGAGAAAAAAGAGGAGAGAGAAGCGCTACCAAACAGGGCACTTCAACATATTACCGATTGAAGCGAACTTTGGAAACAAGTCTCAACTTTGACTAGTTAATAATGAAAATAAATGGACAAGGTTATGCCAATAAATAATTTGAACATTGGACTATTACTGGAAAGACTATTAACTACTGTTGGTGAAAAAAATATGAAAGATGATCTTCTTCACTTAAATCAAAATAATCGTGCCATTTGCCACAACCCGTTGTAGACAAAGAACCAGAAACGATAAAAGGAAGCTCAAGTTTCAGAAAAACGTGAAAGTAGAAATTATTGGCGTAAATTGTTCAACGAAACAGTAATACTTTACATAATTGGAGAAGTGGAAGATATCCGGGGTATAGAAATTTAAATGAGGTATTACTTACGTAAATGCAAGGAATTTACTCTCAGTATTTTCCCAGTTGTCCTCATGCCATGTCACTTCGTTCTGCATAAAAAGGAACCAAGATAAGTCTCAAACAAAATTTAATGAAAGTATAATCAATAAGCAGAATATTGTATACGATGTGAACAAATTAAGAATACTCAGGAATTTAACTAACAAAATGTGCATAGAGCCATTGTGCAAAATAAATTGTCGGTATACCATGTTCATATGCAATACCATGTTCATATGCATAGATTCTGAATTGCTTATGCTGAATTTATCCACCAAAAGAGTAATTGTACAAAAATGTAACACCAAAAATAAAACTCTGACCTTGCCAATAAAGTTTTCTCTCGTGAAGACATTATGACTCCGTCTGAACTTTATCATCTCGGAGAAAAACCTAAAAAGATTGTTCTTCTTGTCCTCCAACTGCCTCAACAAATTCCCTCTATTAACAACTTATCGGACATGTAGAGAGAGAAGTGAAGTAAAAATGAAAAAAAAAGGTACATACTTGGCCCCACTGGAAATGATTAAGCGCATTATCATGTCCATAGCTGTTATTATTTCCATAACGAGTATGACCATATTCATCCCCCATTAGCATCATCGGAGTTCCCTAATAACAAAGAACAATCAACTTTTAACATTGATAGGTTCGTAAAATCTGAAGTTTACCTTTTGCAGAAAGTAAAGCTCCATGATATCTATTAACTGACGTACAAAGAAGAAATATTTTGAGTACTGTTACAGACAGCTAGGATTGAAACTCCGCTTTTCAGGTCAAAGACACGGGTTTGATTCATGGAAAAAAAATGTCAAATTGGAGTTTCACTCGTTAATAAAGATTTGAGAGATACAAGAAAAAGAAGAAAAAATGCTGACTGTTACAAACATAAGCACACATTTGTCAAGGATTACGGTAGGAAAAGTTTGGAATAAACAAAAATTGGAGCAACAATAACACTAAGATAAAAATAAGGTGCCGCAAAATCGAATAAAGGAAAATTAACTATTTAATATTGAAGAATTACCCGGGATGGACATATAAGAAACAGCGTACATTAGGTGTAGATTATTTGCTACATCATCATAAATGTTACCTGGGACACCATTAGTGCTACGTGGAAGTTCTTCATTTGCCGCAAACGTAACGCCTTGATATCTTTATCTGAAGTTTCTCCTGATATGAATACAGTAGTGTATAATAAGCCCAAGAAGTCCAAATGTAGTGATATGAAGAAATTCTCCACTTTATACAGATGGCATACATAAACAGCCCGAAGAAGTCCAAATGTAGTTACTTACAGCTTCAAACTATAAGAATCTTGACTTATCAATGTTGGTGCAAAAGAACGAAAACTCGGATAAATGAACCAGATTTACCTTCAAAACCACAGTTCCAGCTAAAATTGTCATTGCATCCATCGTTTCCGCCTTCTCCATTGGCATCATTGTGCTAAAGTTTCAACAAAGGATTAACAGTAAGTAGACTGATATTGAAATTGACCAAATTGAGCTGCCAAACACTAACCGGGTGTGTTTTACCTTAAAATTGTACGAAACGAGGTCATATAGTGTGAACCCATCATGTGCAATCACAAAGTTGATGCCATGACACGGCTTCCGTTTATTGACCTTTAGACAAAAAAAACGTTTAAGTTATTTAACTACAGTCACAGAATATTTCAACGAATTAGATCAGCTACAAAGGTATTAAACTAATATACTAAACTTGTAGACGAGAACTTGCCTTCTTTCTTATGTAAAATATAATAGCTACACTTTGCGATGAATAAATATTTGTAGATTAAGGATAACTGTTGATAGAGACCCAACAAAATCCAAAACTACGTGTCACGCTCTATAGGAGCATTTCCCAAAAATGTTTAGAGTTTTAATAACGGAAACGAAGTTGGATAACTTTGGGTACTCTAGAAGAGTAGCCCATTTTGCATGGGATGCTGGATAGTGAGATCTCAGAGCATTTAACTTAGGAAAACCTCGTGCGCAGAAAGGAACTTATGTATGCCATTGTATGTTATGCAAGAAAGGCAAAGAAACCGCACTTTCTATTTCATAGTGGAATGGCAAGTGAATTATGGTTCTTCTGTTAAATTCGACGAAATCAAAATTCATTAATTTTCCAATTTATTTTGTTTCTTAAAGCTAGTAGAAGAGAAGGGGCAAAGATAAAACAAACTACGATGCAGCATCTTGATGTCTTTTCTGGATCATATGAAGTGATATAAATGAGTTTCATATGCAATAAAGCTACTCCAAAGAAAGAATTTTGCTTTACTTCTCAAAATTATGCTTTTGCTAATTCATAGATGAACATACACAAATAAGATGAATACGAACTATTGGCACAAAAAACCTCTCTTTGATTCCTTTAATGAATTAAGTACCATTTAGAAGAAAATGATGAGATGCTGCTCGTTTCGCTTTACTGCACACAGTTAACTAATAACAAGGCTAAAACCAATAGTAGAGGTCGCTAATCAGAAAAAGAAAAGAAGTGTACTTGCAAACTCAAACCACAGGAAAATAAACCAAGCAAAATTATATGCAACAAAGATCTACTAACAGAGAATCAAGTCATTAGTGAAATTACACAAACTAAAAAAGATGACAAGAAAAACAAATTAAATGAGCCTGCAATTAGTACTGCTTACCTGGTAAAGATCAGCAGAACCAGCAATCCTAGTCGCAAAAGATCCTTTCATACTATTGTCACCCTATGTCGAAATTAAATCCAAAGATATGAGAATGAATAAAGAAGTTGTTACGAACATATTTAAAATATATAATAAGTTCCCTTTTTCATATAATTTCCCATCTGACCGCTTTCAAATCAAACCTAAAGAATATGTTAAAAATCTGGAGTCTGCTCTTTATAATGTGTTACGTGTATACAGACTTGGCATACTAATATTGTTTCTTGTTAAGGGATATTCAACATTTCGTTTTTCGAACAAAGAGATGATAATCAAATTATAGAAATATTTAAAATGTAAAACTAACCATGAAGAAACTGCTCATGTATGAGATTTATAAGTACAGGAACTTGAAGAATGCACTATGTGAAATCATTAGTACATTGCTTTATTTTCTTGAACATACTGCAATAACGTTAGTAATAAACTTAATGGAATCTTAAGATGTTAGGCAAGTTACTAGGTTAGTTACCATTTAGCATCAGTGTGTTTAATATAATCATCAATTATGGCCAAACACTATTCCTGAATGTTCTCTAGCACTACTTTTTTCAATTTCCTATCTTACAATTATCTCAACTAACAATTTGTTCTTCTGACGTGGGGAAGTATGGATGCATTTCAACTTAATTATCTTATTCAAGAATTTGTTCGCTTGCAGCACCTTTATAAATCTTCTAATGTCATCACGGTATATACCATTCCATTCAGCCCACCTGTAAGAAAAAGTAATCTGCATTGTTATGTTTCTGCAGAAAATTGCAATCAATGCATATTATCATTTGTTAAGGTCCGTGAGTATATTTTTCAGTTCTAATGGCAAAAATATTGGCACAGTATCTATAAGTCCATAAAACCAAATCAACTTTCTCATATGTATATGTAAGAAGAGAAATAATCGAGGATCATAAGGAATTTATCCAGTCAGAACTAAAATTAATTCACCATCTAACTAAAATATGCAAATCCGTATCACTCTAAAAACCAGGGCGATCTCAAACATCAGATTATGAAAGTTTTGAAATGCTAGAAATCAATAATATTGTAAAGGAGAGTTTAATATGTGCGAATACAGAAATGGCAGGTCAATGAAATACGAAAGCACAAAAGTGATCCTTTATGCATTTCTTGATGTTGATTTGTATATATATGCTGCAGAAGCTAATGCAATATTAGATATTCCTTCATTTCTCAATTTATTGCATCTGTGTAAACGTGTCAAGCCAAATACCAGAGAACAAAAGGAATTTAGGAGTTACCTATCCCAGTTTGGAAATTTTCCGACTAAATATAGGCCTCCACAATCCCAAGGTTCCGCAATGATCTTACATCTTGACAGGATTTCATCTTTGGCAATTTCCTGCATCGTTTAAGAAGTTAACTCCGCACATGCAGAAGAGTAAAAAGGGGAAAAGAATGTGTGCGTGAACTGTGCCAAATTTCAAAATGATAATATTGTCTTCAATCCAAACTTTATTTATCCTTTTTCTTTAGTATATGGAGGGAAAGTTGCTAAACAGTCAAAAATCACACTACTGAACCCAAGAATTAGAACTAATCCAGGAAAGATAAAGAATCCTGTTGTCAAATGTGCATCAATAAAAATTCACATTCCCGAACAAAATTGAAATGCATGGGTTATTAACTAGGTATCAAGGTACGATCAAAAGAATCTTATCAGATCATATCAACCATAGGGCATCGAGGTTGACTGGGGGACTAGGTATTATGCTGGCACAACTTACGAAGAGTTGACACTCTGGCAAGGTTGTCTGGCCCTTTGTTTGTTTGTTTTTTTTTTTTCTTTTTTTTGCGATCATATAAAACAAATTGACTTAAAATGACAACATTTAAGCTGTCTTGCTGACTCCTTTAACCCCAGGCATTATTCCACTGTATAGCATGCTGAGATCGATTTGGTTGACATAGGTTTAAATAGACACTGACAACAAATGAGCGTAAGGACATAAGTAATGAGTGCATGGTTACATTGCAGTCACTAGTAGTGGATGGCTTACAGAAAACAGGTAAGGTAGCACGGTCAACTTATAAGCTTTAATCCCAAGCAAACAATCAGGGTTTAGAATTTGGATGAAACTTGTTTACAGAGAAGGCTGTTATCTGTTCAGCATCACTGCATGTCAATCCATAAGAATGTATTTAGGGATCAGGAACAAGACAGAGGTCGCAGATTCGGATTGAAACTGACTTACATTTTTCGTAGAAAATCAACTTTGGAGATTTTGAAGGCGATCCCGACAAGAGCTTGAATTACAGGATTTACATTGTTAATAATGAAACCCTAAATGTAAAACTGTGAGAACTAGGCACATCGAGTTGTCCCATGAAATGTTTTAGTCACAGACAGCTAATTTCTATCGATACTTCTCTACTTTCAGAAAAACCGAGTTTAGCGACTGTTTACTTCTTACACAGTTAGCCTGGAGGGAGACATTTCAATTCCTAATTCCTGAAAAAATAAAGAGGTATATATGCTCTACACTCAACAATTTCATCTGCAACTTACCCATGAAATATTCAGTAATAGTACAGTTACAACTCCACTAGAAGGTATCATCATAACTTACTCTGATCAATGGGGGAGAATTGAGTGGAGAACCATCAGTTCCACGACAAAGCACACTAGCAAGATCAAAACGGAAACCATCCACATGATACTCGGTGACCCTTCAATTAGAGCAGAGCGCCAGTGAGAAGTGTGGACATTCAGTCAGTAAAAATTGACTTCGATGAGAAAAAAAAACATGCTAAAGCAGTGTATCAAGAGAAAGAAAAAAATATGGTTTGCACAAACAAAAAAAGAAAAGCCAAAAATAAATCATTATTAATGATCTGATCATGTATTCTTAATGGAGCTTAATCAACTGAACACTAGAATGTGCTCATACCGCTGGCCTTTAGAAGACGAGTAATACACCTAGACATCGCAATGCATCGTTTTTGGGTTAAAGAAGTGACACGATTAAGATCATAATACAAGGAAGACCATGTGACTTATTTCATGAGAAAATGGTGAATCAGTAATTTATTTGAAGTTCACATGATTAAGTATTTACGTTCATAGAAGCTATAATCAGTATATTGTTCACTTATCTCTGTGCAGTTATTGAACAATGAAACCTCTTTTGCTATGATGTATATATGAGAAAATAGAATGTCAAGAAATTGCACATTATCATCTCTGCAGCATGTCAAAAGTTTGACTAATACAATCACTAATCATATTCATAGAAATTAACTATAGTAAAAAGTTATAGAAGACAACACCAAAGTTTGAAGGATTTGGAAGGAATAAGAATATACCAGTGCCTTAAGCTGTCAAGTATTAATTCCATGACGACAGGGTGGTTACAGTTGAGTGTATTACCTAGACATCAAGATTAAACATGAGAGCAATGAATATAATCGTTGATTGCCATGAAATAAAAAAACATGTTGCCATGAACATGTTTTTTTATGAACATAACAGTAGATTATGATGGACATGGGGTTGTGCTTCCCGATCAACAATAGTTGCCATGAAATAGATGGTTAAACCAGTAGTCACTTTGATGAGTATGGGTTCAAAATTTGAGGTTCCCAGATAATATCATGCATGTAGGTGCTCAAAAAAAAAAAAAAAAAAAAAAAAGCATAATTGTTTACGAAGGGCACCAAGATGAATGAGAGTAAAGCAAATTTGGCATGATTTGCATTCTCTAGGTGTGTTTATGTGCAAACGTACACTAGTTTCTTGACACAGCACGAATACGGGCATAACCCCAGATGTACCACAATAACAAATAGTTGCATTATCAAATCAGTAAGGAGTTAGATTATAAATGTTAAGAAATCAGAATAGAGTACAGACAAAAGATAACACTTTTTGTAACTTAATAGATTACATGCAATAGTATGTGTGTAGTTAAGCAGGAGTTCAATGATAGTGAATTTACCACAGCCAGAGTAGTTCAACAGCTTTGCATTGTTGTTGAAGTCAACTATGTAATAGACCTACAGAAGATATAGCGCATTACTTTGAGACTGGAATTACGAACCGATCGATCGATACATAATCATCAACGAAGAAGTATGCCCATAATTCGATAACATATGTAAACAGAAGTAGACTGACAATTAAAGTGTAAACTTCAAATAAGGTAAATGTAAAACTGATGATTCTTGTTCGAATTAGAGTAAACTTCACTACTAATTATTTACTACATATTGCAAATAAATAGTCAAAATTTAATCAACAAGTCACATGATAAAATATCGACAATATTCTACATATTGCAAATAAATAGTCAAGAGACAACAAGACCATGAAATTTTAATTTTATGATATAGAATACAAAAGTACCTTGTTATCTATGCCACGAAATGAAGTAGTGTACGGATTTTCATCATCAGCCTCATTTGTATGATTATAAACAACATCCAAAATTACCTGGGAAATTATAGCAACATAAAGCCAAAGCAAGAACTTTTATATTACAGTCAGACATTAAATGAAAAACTCAAATCCAAACAATAAAAGATAAGAGCACCTCAATTCCTGCACTGTGTAATGCCTTCACCATTTCTTTAAATTCCAAGGATGCATTAATTGGTCCTCCACCATTACTTGCATACCGACTCATAGGTGCAAAGAAGTTTGTAGTTGAATAACCCCATGTATTAATCTTGAATAGAATCGCAGTTAAAATCAATTATTGCAGCACATATTAATTTATCTGAAAGCACTTCTATCGACCAAAGTATAATATAATGTCATATGCATAGGATACAAAATTTGTAGCATTTAAGCATGGCTAACATACAGAACCTCATCATATGTATATTGAAGTCAGAGAGTAACTCTCAGTCAAAGAAAATTCTGTTTACTTATGCACACAAGGAGTTAACAATATACATACTTACCATGTGATCTCTTGGATTTGGGCGTCTTTGCAGTTCCATTTCATCGAACTCAAACACGGGTAACAGTTCAACTGCATTAACACCAAGCTCCACAAGATGCGGTATCTGTAATCAAAAAAGAAATATCATAACCTATCAGATTTATTTCATCAAGTACAGCATGTGAAGAACAAGACAGTCATCATTGCTAAGAAGAATGATTTTCTGCTTTGGGTTGTATCATTTTTCCACAACATCCTCCACGGGGAAAAATGCGACAGACAAATATTCCACAATATCAGAGGTGATACTAAGTTTTAGTAAATTATGTTTCCGCAAGGAACATGTCCTGATGGAAGTGAGATGATTTGAGATACGTAAACTAATAAAGTAATCATTTCGAAGCTGGAAAACCAAGAGATTGAAGAAAATGAAACTGAATCTGCATCAACTTTAAATAATAGACTGTAAAAACATAAGAATTCCTATATTTATCCCCAAATGTGCCATTTTTAGAAAAACACGGTCGTTCTATTTGTGCAGCTACATTCTACAAGCTTCTTCCACACATAGAGACAGAATGAGAAAACGGTCCTTCAGATCCTTGAGGTAGAAGAGTAAGGATCGGAACATCATCCATTTCTTAGTCCCACATCTTTTACTACTAACAAAACTATAGGGAATGTGAATGCAGCTACTTATTGTAATTAAGAAAGGTATGAACCTGAGACTTGATTCTTTTATCAAATTCATTGTGGCAGGAAAATTAGATTATAATTACATTGAATTTCCAACATTAGAGAATAGATCCTTTTCTCTTAATTTCCAACTTTAGTTTTATAATTGAGGGTCTCTTCAAAACCAAAACAAAAGATAAAAATAAAATAATAATAATTCAAAAAAAAAAGATTACACGTACATGCAGCTATCTTTCTCTTAATTCCAGAGATGTGAGTAAAATATGAATGAATTTATACACGTATATGGTAAGATATAACTCGGAATCCCTGGAATTGGTCAATAAATTTCAGAAGTGGGTTATAAATACAGTACAAGTTTTAAATTTCAACATATTTTCAAACACATTTAAACTGAAACTCTAGGTAGTTGAAAATTGTTACGTTATCATTTGTTAGTTTTTTTTTTTCCGATAAAATAGTAAAGGAAGCAACGAGTAGCAACATTGATGATCACGACTTTGGCTATGAGGGAACTTTTTGTTCTTTAGCAAAAAAATCGAACAATTCTAAAATACCATTTGATTGTTTCATAATTAATATACAAGACATCAAGACTCGCGATGGTCTGGGAGAAAACCGTCGCACACTAGACTATCTTTTTATCATATAATAATAACCAAAAACGATATGGAATGGGTCAGACTGTTTCAATCATAATAGTAACAGTACATGCAGCTATGATCTTCAACAGCTAAAAAGTAACAACACCAAGGAAAATAAATGGTAAAGAGCAGTTACACCTAAAAAAAACTTGCGAATACTACCTTCTCTATCAGCCCAAGGTAGCTTCCACGTATATTTGGGTCCATCGCACTGGATTCATCAGCAGTAAAGGCTCGGACATTCATTTCATATATAACAAGATCCTTCTGCAAAACCAGTACCATCAAAATATGAAACATATAGAAAAGACAAAAGAAACCCAAAATTTCCGATGTCAGTGTAAAATTCCAAAAATATTTCAAAAGATCTTTACATACATTTTTATTCATTGTGACAAAAGAAGGAAAATCTTTCAAGAATTTTTGTGTGTGTGTGTATGGCAATTTACAAGTTATTCATTGTTAACTACCTCATCGACATTAACACCGCCATAAGGCACCACTTGGGCAATCGCAAATCCAAGACTTTTGATGAATACAACTAGCTATGTTAATCAAGAACCTTTGTTTTATTTCAGTATCTTAGCTTCACAAGTAATAGTCATATGTTTAGTACAGCGAACTATAAAGTATAGATCAAATGGGAATCTGAAGAGGCTTTCAAAGTGATTAAACTCTGTACAAACCAAACAATTTATAGCATATTAGTTAATTACGCCCCTCCCCCAACCCAACACTTTTCCAGCCTTCCACTCAAACAGAAAAATCATATGAAACCAAGTTCAAAAAAAGTATAAGAGGTTAACAAGATAACTGTCTATATGATAAGAAAACGTTATGAAAACAATTATTTGTATTTACTTATCTAAATGTGTTATGAATTGTATCCTCTTAATTTTCTAAATGTGCTATAAACATAATTGTTTGTGTCAGTTTGATTTCTAAAACATTTACACAAACGAAAAATAAATTTACCTAAAAAATCATATTCTGAAGGCAACCTTATTATTGCCCACATAACTCCAGTTTGAGACAGTCTAAATCCTATAAGAGAATATGAATTTATTCACGCTTGAATAGTCGTTAAAAGCAGATGCTTTGCAACTCCTAATTTAATAAAGAAACATACGTGGTAGCAAAATCATGTCGGTGGATTTCAATATTTAAATATAATATCCATATATGATCAGCCTGCAAATATTATTTATATATATAATTCATTCAAGACAATATGAAGAACACCATTTACCTGATATAGTCCACTTTACCTCATGTATGTTTGGAAGCTTATAGTTTTCTCCCCAGTCGAACGGCAAGCAATCGAAATCATATGTTCCGAAAAAGTTAGACATCTTATCGCTGGCATCACCAAATACTCGGCGTCCTTCAATCAACTTTGCATACGGATCAAGCAAAAGGTTCCCGTAATCGAATCTATGTCCTTGATGCCAATCTTCAGGACCATTCACGCGATAAACATACAAGACATTGCTACGTGGCAAATCCTTGAAAAAGGAAAATTCTGAATCAATTTATTAGCACCATGAAGTGGATTATGCAGAAAATAAAAACTAAAAGTGCTACCAACAACGAAAAAATTAAGAACTAATAAAAGCAACTAAATCAGCTCACATGGCAACAAATGCACTGGATATATGTACAACATATTCATAGTGACAACCATATTAACATTGCTCAGAACCACAAACTTAATCATAATGTATATTATAACGCAAGAATTCACTATGTATCTTAATAATACAGCTTCCTATATTTTGCTCTCATCTTCTCATAGATATCTCGTTTAAAAGAAACTGAAAGCAGCACTAGTAACACAATTAATAAATTCACCCTAACATCTAACTTTTAGTAGATTTGTGTGTAAAAACTGAAAAATGATATGGATATGAACATGCACACAGCCATCTCAAATAAAGACAAAATTTCATTGCAGCAATCACAAGAGAATTTGCTTCATTAAAATCCATTTTTCCAGATTCTTCAGCCCGACTAAAGCTTCAACCCGAAGCATGATAATCAAAAAAAATTGCAACCTTATTGAAAGTAATATTCTTCTTCTTTAGCTTTCTACTGCCAATGCAATAGTACATGACACAACTCATGTAATAGAGTATATACAAACAAAAACAAGCATAGAGTTTCTCTTGTATTTGATGTTACATATATCACAAGCATATCTCGTAATCACCGCAACTGAACAAGCTAACTTTATGTCCCTTACACTTGAGTTATACAGAACAATGTAGATGCTACATGGAGAACAGTCGACTCGTTGAAAACTGAGCTCTATTATTTTGGCCATATTTTCTGATCCTAGTTACCAAGGATTATACACGTATTTTTTCTACACTTTTTTAATTATTCTCATTCTCATACTTCATGAAATGGTAAGATGAAACGAGATCAATTTCCAACAGAATCTATTTGACGAAACAGACATATTCAACTTAGTCTTATTAAAACAGAAAACAAGACTACCTGAACACAGATGTGCCATATATCTCCTGTCTTATTTACTTCTGCGTCCAGTGATAATTCAATCATCTCTTGATCCCTGAAAATCACAAACTATACATTAAAATTTAAAACCCATGCTAATTAAATACATACAACTTGACATATAAACAACATAAATTCTGGCAATATCAGTATAACAAGTCTGTTGCACTAGACTGTTACGAAACAAAATGGGCACTTGCCAAATTTTGTATAGACATGGAACTGAAAATTATCCAAATGTAAGAAGGACGAAAATGAACTTTCGAGTTTAGTGTAGAAAAGATAACAAAGATTTGAATTGGATGACATTGTAAATTTAGTGAACAACATGAGAAGAATATCCATTGGAACCTCTCATGAAGAAGCAAGCAAAGAGTAACAGCAGTAGCACTCTGGGAGAAAATCGCAAAATTCGTTCCGTTTTCAACCTCCGACACTCCCAAAGGATGTGGTTGTCCGGGCAAAACTTTCATTGATGGATTCTCTAACACTTGGGAAGTTTCTTCCTAGGATTACAAGAAACAAGAGGAAATCATTATTTGATACGCATGAGCACCTGATATTATGTCAGTAAAATTACTTAACACTGTGTGAAAACAGATAAAATTATGACCAAACATTAGTCAAGAAACTAGCAGCACGATATGTCACGACAAATATCAATCCCAATCATGATTTTTTCAATAAGAGAGTTCTTAATACTAAGAGAAAAGGGTTAAGGATTAGATAACTGGTTTTGCAATTGCACAAGTAGCTAAATATAGGTAAAATCAACCAAATTAGTGATACATCCTCGTAGCAGAATACGATCATTACAGCAACCAGCAGAGACAAGTAAAACAATTTATCTTTAAAAGGAAAAAAATATATTAATGCCCCTCAACACAAATGAACCAAGCATCAGGCGAAAAAAAATCAGCCGGCATTAGAAGTAACCGATAGCAAATGTTGTCCATACCTCGATTAGTATAGACTGTTCACCTGCTCGCGGAGCATACGTAATTGAACTCAGTTCGTGACTGCCACTCAATTCTTGTCTAACCTGAGGCATTCATCATCCAATTCTCAACACCAATGTATTAATTGATAATTGGGGATTTTACAAAAAGTACTAAGGAAAATGAAAGTAATGAGAGCTTACTTCACCAAAAAATCTATGTTGGTAACTCTTCACAGATGAGTATGACCCTCTTTCACTTGATTTCAATCTACAACAATCGAGACAAATTATAGGAACCGGAAATATATATGAGAGAGAGAGAGAGAGAGAGAGAGAGAGAGAGAGAGAGAGAGAGAGAGAGAGAGAGAGACCATGAATGCAACAGAAGAAGAAGAAGAAGAAGATAGTAAGCGGCGATTTACCGAATGTTGGGGCGGAGTGCGGGAATGAGAGAGAGAAGGGTGTTGGTGCAGAGGGTAGAATGTGAAATCATCATCTTTACCTTTCGGGAAATTGATGTCGTTTTCTCTCACTGGGTTACGATTACTACTTAATACTTATTCCTAGAGAGAGAAACAGAGGAGGAGGAGGATGATTCGATCATCTGTGAAGGCAATCAATCAATTGAGAGTGGTGGGATGGGTGAACTGACCATTATTGTTAGCGCGTGGCGTGGAGGATTTTGATTGAGCAATTAACGGTCGATTTATGTTTTCAATCTTTTTGGTGGACGAGCTGCGTGGAAGAACGGACGTTCCATGTCCGCCACGTGGATGTCAAAAAAGATCTCACCCTTTTTGTGTTGGGAGGTGATATTCGCGGTAGCAAAATTACGAATGCGGGTTTAAAAAAATCCACTCTCTACTTTCATATAATTAACAACAAATTCAATATATATAACTAGTTTAGATGAGTAATTACCTTTCAAATTGAGGAGATTTTCGGATTTGGAAGGATTGTGAGAAGGATTTAGGATTTTTGTGAAATTTGGGGTTTTTTTGTGGTTTTGGGGTTTGAGTGAATTGGGGAGTTTTTAGAGAGAGAAAGGAAATGTATTGTGAACGACATTCGTAATTTTACTGCCGCGTAAATCATTTCAGTTTTGTGTTTGTCGTGTTTACCTCGTGTGTACAATTAGCACTAGTCTAAAATAATTTGAGATGATACACCTAATAAAATACACCGGGTAATTATTAAATGTTGATGTAATAATTTTTCATTAAGTACATATACAAATGGATGTGTTTGATTGAGTGCAAATTAACGATAAATAATTATTCGGTACATTTTACCGAGTGTAACATCAAATAAACCAAAATAAACGGGGGCTTAATATTGGACAATTTGCTATAGGTCGTTGTATAAGAGCATCTTCGATCTGTTTCACATTCTTTTCACCAAATTCCATTTTTATGGTGAAAAAATGCGTACATTTTTCGTCGGTAGCACCCCATTTTATTCTTCCACCATTTTGGAAAAATTGTGATTTTGGTCTCCCAATAATTTCACTAAAATTTAAACCATGTATTAAAATAATAATATTTCACTATTTCACCACTTATGGCAAATGGGATTGTGTTTGGTCTCCTATGGCATTTCACCATATATGTCCCCAAAACTATAAATTTAATGTTTATCGTAATTTTATTATATTTTATTTCCTAAATGTTAATTATAGATCCAATTTTAAGTAATAATTGTTTTTAACAATACTAGGCAGGTGCACGTGCGTTGTATGTGTCTTATTAGTTATTATTTTTATGTGTGTTTGATATATTTATCATAATATAATATTAAAAATGTAAAACATTTAAATATTTTAAATAAATAACATAAATTCAGGAGGAGGTTTAGGTTTAAAGGTTCCAGTTGCCCTGCAAAATAAATTTTACATGTAAGATTTCTCGAAGAAGAAGGCCATTTGACTAATATACTTTGATAATTAATACTAACAACTAAATCCATTAATAATTTTCATGTGAGAAAAATAGCCATAAAATGTATTCTGCAAGCTTTTCTATCAATTATTTTTCTTATTTATTATTATGTATAAAATCTTAGGAATGTTTTCTCAAAAAATGTCCCTATGAATAATATATATTTTGACCAACTATTTCAGTAGTCACCTGAATATGCATAATTGTTTGTACTATCTGTTGGAACCACGGCTGTAATTTGACGATTGATCATGAAACTTGAGGCTTGTACTCCATTTATTCTCTAATTTTATATGTAACAAGTTGCTGCAATAATATACACAATAATATGGAGATAGGCAAGATGAGACGCGGACTAGGTCGCTCTCTTAAGACGAATTTCACGACCCCTTCTCTAATGAGGTGCAAAAAGGTTCCGATCGTGTCGCCTATGGGATACAAACGCCCAGCCTATCTCTCCGCTGTAACTTCACCAAAATTGCACGTTCAAGTGAAGTAGAAGCTTACACCCGACACACAACAAAAGCTCAAAGTATACGTATATAGTATAAAAGAAAAGTATTTCTTTTATCATCTTTTGTACTCTTTTTTTTTTTTCATTAATTTACCAAGCCATAATGCTCCCTTTATATAGTATATAATATGACCCCCATAAAACTTCAATTGAATACATAATTTATGGTGTTTTATGTAGAAGAATAATGACTTGAAGGTTTTAAAATAGTGGTCTAATGACCGTCATAAAATAGGTCAAAGCCATTATTATATTTTATAATAAAATATATTGTTTTTATTAAAATAACCCAACAATCCCCCACTTATTTTAATAAAAATAAGAATATAAATATATTTGAGCTCTTGCGGAATATTATGCATAATGAAAGTGGACAATGCCTTCAAACCTTCACTTAGTACAATATGTTTCTCGTACTAGAATCAAGTGGACTTAGCCTTCAAATAGTGACCCTTGGGGCACGTAGAATCATATTGCACACATAATACTCAAAGTGTCCCGATCGAAGCTTCTAAAGCCAGCACGTTAACGGCCATGTGCTTTACCCCATTTCTCGTGAGAGCTCTAGAGAACAACCTATAATTCCCATAGAAGCGGCCCCACTTCCACACTCACAAGGTGAATTCTATCAAGGATGTTTACGTAACTCCAACACCCCACCCATAAGGGCTATAGAACTCATTAAGAGATCAAAGGCTCAACCTCACAATTCGTTACGAGCTTTATTAGTGCACACACACCATAGGGATGGATAGTAAAAGTGTGCACTTTTATCTCAATTAAGTTGCTTTCAGATCGTTGGTCTCCAACAACTTTTCGAATATTTTTAGGCTTTAATCCAATTCTCCTCAATGCATTTCAGATTAAATCTGAAATAATGTGAAATATAATTTCACAAATTCAATAGCGTTTATTCGACATTTAGTCTCATGAACTCAATGGTTTATTAAAAATTTCGCATATAATTTCACGTATAATTTCACGTATAATTTCACTTCAATTTTCACGTGAATTTTCACATAGATTCACAGTACTGTATTTTCTTTTAATGGTTTCGGATTCCATTAAAAGATTCTCGCAATATGCCAATTGCAGTTTCACCATCACATATTTCAATGCACAAAGCATTGATATTTCACAATAAATTCATCAAAGCACAAAGCATTTATCTATCCCACGTTGGAATTTTATATATCACATTAGGCACCAATCGACCTCATCATAGGTTAATGTCAAAACAATCAATCAAAATTGATATGAATTTTGAATTTTAAATTTTCAACATATATCATTCACACAAGGTGATAAATCTAATTAAATAGGAATATAATTCCTCTTATTTAGATTTTCAATAATCAACAATATTGAAACTTTCAAAAACGTTTCACTTCACAAATCACAAATTTATTTGCTAATATATTTTCAGCAAATTTTAATAATCACAATTAGGCCTTTGTAAATCACATGAATGTCACATGTATGCAAATTTAGGCCTATGATAGTTACTTGTATAATCAAGATTGCAAATAAAGCATAATTAATCACATTATCACTATACAAATTTGCAATCATAAAGTGAGCAATTTAAACAAAGATTACGTTAAAATCAATTATAACATGGTCATATAGGTAAACACTAAAACCCCTACTATTTCTCAATATTTAAACAATACATAAAATGTTTAATCATATGAGCATGCTCTCTAACACCCCCACTACATCAAATATTCAAATACATGCATCATAAATTAAATTCAAAAAATAATATATCATGCTCATTTTTACAATTTAACAAAACTATAGTACCCCCACTATTTCTCAATTTAAATAAATTATTTATTTTCATAAACAGTTTAATGCTCTAATAATTCACCATAATTGATAATGATTGATCAACACCATTACCTCAGGTAAATATAATGTCGTTCATACATAATGCATAACCCATGCAGTGAACACACAAAAATTAATGACATTTTCACATGCGTGTTATTAAACAAATTTATCTCAAAACGAAACGGTAAGAAAATCAAAAAACATCAAGAGGTCATAATATAATATGTAGTTAATTACACCTTAATCAAACCATTACTAATTATTTACTCGTATATCAATTACTCAAAAGACAAACGGCAAATTATTTAGAAAATAAAGGTTGAGCAAGTAGTACTAATTAATTTCTCAAATCAGTAAATTACTTTTGAAAAAACGACAAATCATATCTCCCAAATTTGGTCAAAAAATTTCTTATGATAATTTAATGCGTACTCATTATACTACATAAGAAATTATGAAACGGTCAGAGACATGAAGGAATTAAAATATGCAAAAGTGTTCCAGCATAAGAAATTATACAACAAAACCAAATAATTCACACAAATGGCTGTACTTCAGACTTTTGCATATTCTACTTTTAATATGACATGTGAATAATACACACGAATCATCAACACAATTAACATGCAATAATATAATGGTGAGTATTATCACATTTGTGAATTTTTCATTCTACAAAGTCTAATTAAGAAACTCGACATCACAACTCGATCTTATTTAATCACACAACTATTCTTATCATGCAATTATTCTTCACACAACTATCACAAACTTATTATCGTAATGCAAAATATCATAATTAATTTGGAAATGAAGAACGTACCATATTCGATGAATTTCTATTACGAATTCTTTCGATACCTCATAAACGCGCACAATTTGGCAGCTGCAGCAGTGCTCAGTATTTGGGGCATATCTCTCTCGTTCGATGTCCGATTTCAGTGATTCAAGATGTTTCGGACAGCCAACAGAAATGTCTAAAGCTTTCATGTTTTACATATTCTCAAATTCGGATATTATCAGGTCCGAAACTGTCCTCAAAATATAAACTCGTGAATTGCACGAAAATTCACCTACAACAATAATAAGATCATTAATTTTTTCGTCAACTAAAAACCAAAATATAAAAATGGAACGTAACATCTCCCTTTTCATATCGCGGGCTGATGCGTCTCTTATTTTAGATCATCGCCAAAGTTTATTTCACGGGTTTGGAAAATTCGTCTTAAATTGTTGGAACCACGGCTGTAATTTGACGATTGATCATGAAACTTGTGGATTGAGGCTTGTACTCCATTTATTCTCTAATTTTA